TCTGCATAGGCTCGTAGGCCGTTGCTTCTATGATTTCTTGTTCCCATTCCGAGTTTGACTGTGATTGGACCGCCATGGTAGCGAAGTGGAGGCCCTTGAGAGAGTGGGATTTCGATGTAAACAAGGTCCCGGCACTGAAGAGCAGAGGCAGTAGGAGTTCGCTGACTAGCAAGGATTCCTGCTCCTTTCCGTACAAATGTAAGTGCTCTAGGAGGGTCGATATTCCAGTCGCATATAGGAGCGAAGCAGTCGTAGTTTGGGTGACGCCTTGTAATCTGACGGCTGATCTCCCTCCGGTAGATATATGGCTCCTGGATAAGTACTACGTCGACTCGCTTAGAGTGAGCTAGCTGTAGTACCAGCTCCTGGTAGTCGCTAGACTTGTGTACATTGATCTGGAGGACTTGAAGACATTGTGCTTTAGTAAAGCTTCGTCTACTCATAGTGAAATAGGGGGTAAAGTATCCAAGGTTCTTGTTGTAGAGAGGTTGTCATGTGTGGAGGCTATGGAGTTATTAGCTCTCTGCAGAATAACACTTGGCGGTGTAAGAGGGCTATCTATGCTCGACTGGGAGGGGTTCTGTGAAGGGTTCTGTGGGGTAGTAGGAATATCCATTTCCGTGTCCACGCTACTACAAGGAGATTCTTCTTCTCTTCTTATTCGCATCTCATTACATGCTTGCCGAATTGCTCTCTTGTTTTCGGTTGAGGGGTGTGTCTTTGTAGCCTTTGGCCTAAGCTGGCACATAGGGTCGTCAGAGGCATGAGGGCCACTACAGTGTAGGCACTTCAGTTTACACTGAGAGTGTCTAATACACCTAGGGTGGAAATCTTCAGAGTGCTTGGTAGTACCACATAGGCGGCATCGCTGGTTCTTGCCACAGTTCCTTGAGTTATGCCACATCCAGCACTTGGAGCATTGGGTAACATTAGAGACTTTAGGAGGTCGCTTAAAGAAGGCTCTTCTTCCGAGAAGAGACGTTATATCAGGAATAGCGTGAGAGGCCCTAGCTTCCTCTTCCTTGAAGAATACAATCCAGGAGGTGAAGAATAGTCCGTTATAAAGAGAGCTAGTAGCCATGTCAACCTTAGTTGGCACTACTCCAATTCGCTCTCCTATTGCTGTAGCTACTACTCTTGCTGTAGTTGGGGAGAGAGTCGATATAATCGCCCCCTTTTCATCAATTTCGACAGTTTCGACACTTCGAGGGACCCCTGATAAGCGAAATACTGCCCAGTCTTGCGAGGTCTCTATTCTAGCCGCATGGAAAAGGGTTTGGATAAAGGCCTTCTTTGTTGACAGAAGGGTGTCCAGAGCTTCTTTACTCTTAGCTACAATAGCAAACCCAGAGTTAACCGAAAGTACTTCTTGTACAAGCTCTTTACAGCCAATTTTTGGGTCGCAGAGTGCAAGGTAGATGGCTAGGGCAGAGTGTTTCCTTTCAAGAGAGTCTAGAGGAAGTCGAATAAATACCCTAAGATCGGGTTTGGCTAGGGGGCCTTTGTTCTTCTGTGACTTTAAAGTAACAGTAGGAGGGGGTGGTGTTGTTGCTGCTGTGGTTGTGCCTAGATTCTCAGGCACTAAGGCACTCTTTATGGTCTGTGCGTATGAAATTTTTTCCACAGGAGCCAGAGAGGGGGTTGAGATCGTAGGAGACATAGGGCCATCTCTGCCCCTTTGGGAGGCTCCAAGAGCGGACGGTAGTGGAGGCGGGGTCCCTGAGGTGTATGTTCGGTGGAAAGCTAAGCTAAGGTCGGCCACCTGAGTGCAAAAGGCCCTGAGGTAGGGCAAGAGTTCCGGGGGAGCCCTATCAAGAGCAGTGTTTAGGTGGTGGTCAACGGCTTCCGCGGTACCTCCAGAAAAGATTTGGCCTATAGCACCACGTTCTAGAGCTTTGGTGGTTCCAGAAACGAAGTGCTGCTGTATATTGGGTAGTGGGGGCATCGAGCGTACTCCCCCCTTTTTCAGGCCCCTTCCAACGGGCGTGGGCGAAATCGGAGGTTTCCCTGGAGGAGTCTCCATGGAGGGAATTTTAGCTTGTCAAACGAGAGTAAGAGAGATTGAGCGTTTTAGAACAAAATTTTCAATCTACGAAAAAGGTTGTTGACTACAAAGATGGTTAGATGTAATCTCAAGCAAGTTCTAGACGTTCTTTAGGACTGCGTAGCGTGGTAGAACGCAGATTAACTCTGTACTCTAATTAACTATTTTATATAATGTCATGCTCCTCTCATGTGGAATATGCCGCATGAAGCACTTATTTATACCTTTTTCAAAATCTAATAGCATCTCTACACAACGTCATGTCTCTCTCCTGCATAGAACATTCCTGACGAAATCTTTACTCATAGCTTCTTTCCCTCTTACGTAGGGCCTGTCATTCCAAGCTTCAGATCGCCTACACTCATTTCAATCTTCAAAATGCTCCTTAGTATTCCCGTCATCGCGACCCTGCTGTCGGTCGCAGTAGCCAATCCCACTCCCCAAATACCCCCGCTAGGAGAAAATAACAAATGGTTCGTAACAAAATGGGGCGCATTCTGTGATCCCGGTGGAATTTGTAGATTTGGTTTGTTCACATTTCCTCCTCTTCCCCTCTCTTCCTACCGATCCTCGCAAGCTAACTAACACAAACTAGGATTCGACATCAGGGGCGATGAAAAAGTCGGTAAAATCAATGTCCCCAAATTCACCGCCAACTGCGCCGCCACCGACGTCAGAATCGATGGCAACAAGGTGGCATGTAGAATCACGGATCCAGCGAGCTACCCGTCGGGAAACGTACGGGAAGTCTTCGCGGGGTTGATTTCCGGCGACCCTGCCATAACTGAGGATGTGAAGCTTGCGATTGATTACAAGTTTAAGGAGATAGGCGGGTAAGTTGCCCAGTTGTTGCTTTGTTGCTGAGTGGGGAATGGGATGATGGCTAATGACCTGGGAATAGACTAGAGAGCACTTGGATTATCTCGGCTACTGATGGGGTGTTCTTTGCGGGGGCCCAGGACTTCGATATTCCTACTGAGTCGTTTCAAAAGGTGTAGCCTTAGAGGGGGTCCGTCATTGGTATCAGACGGTTTGTAGGGATTTGAGTACTTTTAGGGTGTTGCTTTCTTGGAAGACGGACTTCAAGGTTCATGAAGGGGTTAGAGTTTAAAGAGATGAAATACTGCGAGTTGAGAATGGAAATACATAACAGCTCAGGTGCGTTGCAAAGAAGAGGTATGGGAGAGTTCTTTGTGATATGTAATGTTACTTGGTAGATTTAACGACACTATCTAGGAATTAAAGAAATGAAGGTGGAACTCCTGGTGCCATACTGAACCGGTGCTTTGAGATTAAGCGAGGGATCACTTTGGAAGAGACCCTCCACATAAGCTCCAACACCCGTAAAAAGTTCTCAGTTCGCAAAAGCAGGAATCTTTGAGAAAAACGTGAACCTAAGCATATGAAGACGCCCATAGGGAAAGATACCCCCGCAGTTCTTGTACACCAGGAGCCCACTCATCCATTGCCCAACAAAAACCCACACAGCTTCCAGCACAAAGTCCTAGTACTTAAGACCCCCCCAGTCTAATCAACTCAAGACAACTACAGCTTTCACAAGAACTATTCCCGAATTCTGCCTGTCACTTTCACTCACACAAGTAAAGTTCTTACGGCTGTACTGTTGCCTTTTCAACCGCATCCCCATCTTTCACTGGCTCTGTAGAAAGTGCTTGAATTGCAGCATGCGAACAATGCTTCACTCTTTGTCCCTCGCCAGCAAGGATATCCACTGATCCACCGTCTTTTTCCATTCTCAAGGGATCGAACGGAGAATCTGGTGGGAATCTGATAAGCTCGTATCGTCCTGGAGTAAGTACTGAATGCGATTTCATCATTAGCGAGGCTTTCAAAATGTCGGTCATTCGCTCTTGTCGCCCTATCCATGTCTCTGTATCTTGGCCCCAGGTCTCGAAGAGGTTATTTTCGGATTCCTCGGCATCTCGTGGAAAGAATGGGGATAGGGTTTTGGAGAGGCAAGATGCTGGGGATTTTGCTTCGTCGTTGAGAAGTTTTTGGAAACGAGGATTTTTGATTAGGTCGTAATAGGAGGCGAGTTCGAGATTGTATAATGCTATTGAATCCCCTTGAATTCAACGTAAGCTTATAAGTAGGAGAAGCGAGGTAGATGTATAGATGAAAGAAAGGCTTACCTTGTGCGACTAGCAGTTTCCTATATGTTGCACCAATGTCCAAGCTCCCAGCTGGTGTTCCGAAGTTGGGAAAGCTTGATTCGAGGACCCAGGTACAGACTGCGGCTTCTATCAAAGTTTCAATAACTTGGTGTGGCGAATGTTTTGAAAAGAAGTCGTCAAATTTGGACTTTGTCAAAAGAAGCTCCTCATCCAAGCCAAATCCAGAGGATAGTAAAGCATGAAGCCCAGCCGTGGGTTTCGTGCCAGGATATTGAAGAGTAATCTCATCATCAAACCCACCAACTACATTTTTCATATCGTGTCTAATGCTTGCTATTGTTTCTTCCATGTGCATTTCTGTTGTGCTGGGTCTACTTTCTCTTTTGCTCCACTTCCTTATTTGATCCACTTATAGTTCTGCTGCCTAAATGCTTCATGTCTGCCTAAACCTTACACTCTTTATATAAACACCTTAGATAGCTACCTTTTACAATGCAATCAATTCTCCATGACCTTCAGTACCCAATACCCTTTCAACCCAATAATATTATACTTACTTATATAATTAGAGTAGGTATAACCCGCGCTATTTAATCTATTATAACTATCTCGAACTACTTACCCGAGTCTCGAACTAACCGGACTTTATATTAATCTAAATTAATCTAAATTAATTAGATTACTTAGCGATTTAATTTAATTAGTCGATATATTAATCTAATTTAATTTAATTAGGTACTATTAATTAAATTAAATTAAATTATTTCTAATACTACTAACGTTATCTACTATTATCCTACCTAAATACCTTAGAAACGATTTATAGCGGTATTAAAACTTTCTATATAGTAAGCTAACTAATTCCCTATTATAAGAATAGATAGATATCTTACGAAATAAACGAAGTAGTATTTTAATATATACGAAGAATAACTAGCTCGAATCTTACCCTACTTATAAACTCTTATTATAACGTAACTCTATGTGAGAGGCCAGACCTCGAATAGCTCAAAGGTGTGGTTTCGAATATTCAATTAAGAAGTGCGTGAAGACTACATACATGCGAGCTCTTCCTCTATATATAGAGAGGAAGAGCTTCCTGAATATTCCAAGAAACTTGCAAGAAACTTGAATGACGAATACATGATGTCAGAAGAACAAAACAAGAAAGTGTGGAAAAGTAGAAACCTGTTTGGCAGTGGGGTAATGGCCAGTGCTAAGCAGGGACTTTGGTCAGTGCTCAACGAGGACTTTGGTCAGTGCTTAGCGAGGGCATGGCCCGAGCCTCCATCATGGGTTCCAACCCTCACACTCTATCCTAATTTAGCTAAACTACCTAACCCTCTTACTATCTAGTATCTAGAATTCCCTTCTCTTCCCTTTTATTCTATTTAGACCACTTCCTAACCCTTCTAAGCTCGATAGAAGATCCCCTCCTCTAATAATAAAACCCGAGAGCGCCTAGAAACGAATTAAACCCCTATACTATAACCTAGAAAATAGCTCTTTAAATCCATCTATCTAACTAACCCTAACCCTAAGTTTGAAAAACAAAAAACGTAGATATAAGTGTTTTATTCTATCTTATTCTATTCCCTTATATATATATATATATATATATATAAAAGTATAATCGAGTCGAGTTAAATAGAATACCTAGAGTAAATACTACCTAATAAATATCTCCCTATTCCTATCCTATAAGTATTATATTTATACCTAAACTATAGATAGTAATCGGGTTATCTCTAACTTTCTAACAAGTACCTACCTACCTACCTAGTATTTCCCTATATAATATTAAGTAATAAATAAAGTAGTAAGTTAATAAATAGGAACTAATCTACTAATCTAATATTTTAGTAATCTTACCTATATTACGAAAGTTAATATAGAAGATAAAAGATCTAATTTAGATATTAAGATTGTATATTCAGTCTATAACTCTCTACTTTTTTTACTCTCCTCTTCTCCTACTATTTATTTAATCTTATACTTATATTCACTTATTTAGGTCCTTCCTTCTTTTACTCTCCAATGTCACGAATCACGTGTTACCACGGGAGATAGTGAAGACCAGGCGGCGCCCTGACAGGTCGAGCATTATCATAACTCTTATAGCAGAAGGGGATCCTTAGGCTAGCTAAGCGATCCATGGATTTCGTCGGATTAAAGTACCACGTGACCATGATCGCTTCAGTCGCCTGAGTCGCCTGTCGACTGAAGCGACTGAGGCGAGCGACTAAAGCGATTAGACAGAGAACGAAGGTTCTATATAAGACTGGCACGTCTGCCATTTAGATAGGAGCTTCGTGCTCAACTTAGTTATCAATCTTATCATATTAGTTTGACATCTTTGATACAAGTAACGAGTTCACTTCCAAGTGAACAACCCGATAGTCTTCTTCTTATCATAGCATACCAACCAGCGAACACCCAGCCAAGTTTAGTTAGCCAGTTTGAGTATTCGTTACATCCAACTCTCTAGGTCTTTACTCTCTACCTCTCGAGCTCTCTGATAAACCTACGATAATAATACACTACTCTACTTACCTCCCCCCTCTTATCCCCTCTTATCCCCATCTCCTCTACCTTCTAAACCTAAAACAAAAAAAAAAAAAAGACACCTATTATAACACCCTCTATCCATCTATCTATCCATCTATTAAACAGTATTTCCACAATGAAAAAGCACGACTTATCTATTACCAAGACAAGCTCAAGCTCAAGCTCAAGCCTCAAAGAATAGATATTCAAATCAATTTAAATCAAATCAAATCAAATCAAATCGATTTAAATCAGGCATCTTCAAGAAGCAAAGAAAGCAAAGAAGCACACCAGCAGCACAAAAAGAAAGAAAAAAAACCCCTAATAAAAGAAAAAAAAGATTTAAAAATCATTCCATTGTACTAACGACCCCTCTCATCTCCCATATACCTCCTCAAGTATTCATTTCCTACAAGTACAAATTCCCCATAATCTATCTATACACCCCCCAATCCATACAATCCATACACCCCATACACCCCAAACACCCCAAACACCTCAGCACCGTCGTATACTATACCATACCACACCACACCTCCTTAAACCCTCAAATTCCATATCTCAACTTAAAGTGAAAAAGTAAAAAAGTGAAGCAACCAAAAAAACGGCTGCTGTAC